TATATATATGTTCTGTGCTTGTTTGATTGTTAAGTATAGGGTTTTACGGCGCTCGCAACTGCATAAGGTCATATGAGCGTGCTGGACACACCTAATATTTTCCGTTGGTAGGAAATTTTTTGAATTTTGCACGGGTGGCGGCCGAAGCCTACTGTTATCGATTTTAGACCACCAAAGGATCTTTAACGTGCGCAACTTGCACACGGGCCCTCCGAGATTTTTCGCCCTTTGTTCTGTGCTGTATTATATACCAGATATATATTTATATATACAGAGGAAACCTGATAAAACAGGGATGGTGGGAGTAGAGAAAATGTCCTGTTATATCCGATCCCTGTTAAATCAGAAATGCAAGGAAAGTAAGCATTTGTGGACTAATCCAGCTGCACTTATTCATGGGTAGTTTCCCTTGCCACAAGTATCCACGAACAGGGGTTTTGGCACCAACTGTCTCCTAGCCTCCTTAAACCACATCAGAAGAGCTTGGTCCACGACATCTGCATCAGGTAGTCTCATCTTCTTTCGATCCAGAGCAAACTTTCCATTCGAGTATTATGCTGCCACTATCTTCTCTCTATCCTTGACAATGGTGTGAATCGACCCTTGCGGAATGTCGAACTGACGACAAATCTCGGCCAGTGGAGCTTGCTTTTTGTCAACAGCCTGGATTATTTCGTATTTTTTGTCAATTGAAAGGCATTTTCTCTTGCGCTTGACATCGTTGGTGACACATTACACGTGCGTGTTGCTAGGTTTCGGGCTAGATCAAGGTCTGTAGCACACCGCAGCCCTCTCTCGCTTCACACGCTGCGTGTGCTTGCAGTGGCATGGCTTGCGTGGACTTGCTCCATAACTGCGTTACTCTCTCTCTCTCTTTCTCTCTTACACATTGTTAACGAGCCATTGTCCCTGCCATAACCGGTTGGGCTCCGATGAGGCCCTGTTATTGCCGATAACTTTTAATAGAGACAAAGAGTAGGAAAAATCGGGGATTTAAAGAATCCCTGTTATTACCGGATCCCTGTTATTACTGGGCCTGTTGTATATGGTTTCCACGGTATATATTTGTTCTGTGCTGCAGTATATACCAGATATATATTTTTTATTTATTTTTTTAAATAGTAGAGTGTTTTACGGCGCTCGCAACTGCATAGGTCATATGAGCGCGCGGGGCACACCTAATATTTTCGTTAGTAGGAAATTTTGAATTTTGCCCGGGTGGCGGCCGAAGCCTACTCTTATCGATTTAGACCACCAAGGGATCTTTAACGTGTGCAACTTGCACACGGCCCTCCGAGATTTTTCGCCCTTGTCCGAGAAGGCTAGGTGTAGACTCGTAACGGTGAGGTTGTCGGTGGTCTAGTGGTTAGGCTACCGGACTCGTAATGGTGAGGTTGTCGGTGGTCTAGTGGTTAGGATACCGGACTCGTAATAGTGAGG